TACAATGTTTTGATTTTTATGCTTTTCATTTTCGGGTTTTATTCTTTCCATCGAGGATGGGTTCGGAAATGAGTGAAATGTGACATTTCAAGTCGCAGTTCCGTGAAATGTGGTTTATGAATAATTTAAAAAATAAATGCCCTGTGGAATGAGGATCCCTGGCAAGAAGTTGAATTTTTTTCATGCACACCCATGAATTGTGATTTACCTATGAAAAAGACATATGAAAATGAGTCCGACGACCTTTATTAAGGTGTTGGAAAAGTTTTAAATTTTCCTCATAAACTGTACATTCAACATTAGTTCTAAACAGTAGTTTTGAATTTGGACGGAACCGCGGTGACCGGCAGCGGAAGGCAATGAAGGAAAATAAGTAAATCGAATAAATGTTGGGCTATATGCAGTAAAATTATTTTGTAAGCGCAGAACAAGTTGGGAGAGACTTCATACCCTTGGAAGTTCGAGGGTCACTGGACCCGTCCAATATTTCGCCGAAAATAAAATAAAGAAGTCGATTCCCCTCTGGTATACCGCTTCCTTTTGGAGGCAACCGGTTTTCAATTCTAGCATCCGCGGGACGACAGACAAGATTTTGCTTTGCACTCATGAAACACAGTGGATCGGGAAGTATATATTCAAACACAGTATTATCTAGTGCTTGATAATGTGGGTTCTTCTTGGGATTGGGAATTGTCTTGAAGTGTGCTGGACCCCATCCACCGAAAAAACGGCCGCCAGCAACAACGTTGGCGCCTCATCCCAGCGTATACGAAGCTGAGTACAGTATGCGCGTTCCTCGAGTTGAGATTGTCTTTGCTGAACGCACAGAATTACTAGATCTTCCAATCGTGCTTATCATCGGATGAAGGCAAAAGCGTGTGCCGACGTTTCTTCCGGGGTTTTTTGTTTTACCGCTTATTGAACCGTTCATGTTATGAGAGTTTATATATTCATCCCGCGGTGATTCGATTTATAGCAGCTTAAACATGAGTCATGTGCGAAGCATCGTCTAGTACTCTAGTATGTAGGTCTGGAACTGCAGAAATACACTATATTTGATGTACTGCGTGTACCGTATTCCTCCGTCGATTTCCGAGTTCGGCACCGCGTCAGTCAGGTCCCAGCATGAGTTCATTCCCTGGCTGTTGAATGATAGTCAATGCCATCAGGTCATTGATTATGTGGAACCTATGTTGGAGTGACCATATTCCTGGTGACAGCAATAATTATCCCTTGCAACTTGCGTAGATATCCCGAAAAAGGTCTGTGAGAATTTTTGGATTTATTTTCGGATCAACGTGCTGGCATTCGTTACTCCGCGATGAGTGCGTTCCTTGCGAGACTGGATTATGGTCTTCGAGACCTTTCATACATGGAATTGGGACGAAGTGATGCAACAAAAGATGGTTCACAAAGAACCAAGAAAAATGGGAGGAAGATTACTGTTGCGTGTTATTTCGAAAGATCAGGGAGAGATGTTGATGTGAAGACGCCACTTCGGCTGCGTGAGTATATATGCTGTAGAATTTTGAAAACGTATCAGTTTTATTATTGGAGAAACGCTTCATTTGTTACATTCCTTGTTCTCAGATGTTCACAAAGAACAAGGAAATGGTGTGAAACTCGGAGCCGCTTGTGCAAAGCGTGCACCTTTGGAGAAGATATTTTCCATCAGTGAGGATTCCAACGGAGCCTTCGCCTTAACTATCGCCAAAACACTGACGGGAGTGCCCTTATTGTTATTATGTCTGAATGAGGTCATTTTGCGTGTTGAGCAGAAATCCGTGTATCTTCTGAGACATGGAGACATCATAGAGGGCATATTTTCTAGAATGCGTGAGTAATTATGTTCAATCCCTTTTATGATGGAAGCGAAGTATCGTGAGCACCTATTCTTCCCATGAATTACTTTGGGTATCCGAGAAAAAATTCTTGCTACACCGCGGCTAAGATTGGCTAGACCTACATTCACAATCTCTGCCCTTCCTTTACCAAAGTTTGTCTTCAGTTGACATGAAAGGTTTTATTTTTCATTTCACGATTTCAATTAAACTTTCCCGTTCCGCAGCGCCAGAATATAACGGGACGTTTCTCATTATCAAAATGGGGGGTTTTTCGCTTGGAACGCATGATTAATATTACAGTATTTTAATTTTTTTCGTTCTCATCGACATACCTTTCAAAATATTTGAAGTATTCAGTGCAGAATCAAGGGGCGTTAAATAGTTAGCATTTGAACCGCGATTGTGCGATTTACTCTCAGCTCCTCAATTTTATATTGGGTGATCGTACCCATTGGAAAGACAATTGAATGATACTCTGTGAACTATATCTATCTTGATCGATTGATTCAACGAAGGTTAGCTCTATAGAGTTTCGACTGACTGGTCTCATGATGTACCAGCAGTCATCATCATAGCCATCTTCTACAGAACAAATTCAGGAAATCCCTATGGGTAAATTTAATCAGTTCAAACTCGAAAGCCGATAATTAGATATGAACGAAATTTTCTCCAGTTTAATTTTTTCCTCCCCAGGATTCGTGCTGAAATGAAATACTGTAGATGCATTTTATACTGTATTTTCAAACCTACAGCTCTTGCAGATTTCTCGCGCAACTTTTCTTTTGTAATATTCTGTATAGGCGGGATTTTCCTTTCCAGCAGTTGATTCCCTGGGAAAAATATTGCAAAACTGGTTTTTAAAATCTTTCTATCATCTCTGTGAAATAAAGCTTTGGTTGAGTGAGTTATATATGAAAGCAATGAAGACGGATTGTTTTTTGCAGCTTGCTTCAAGATCATGTTCCTCCTCGGTGGTGACTCCAACATCAAAGAACCACAGACCTCGCAGCTGCTTTCATGTCCCAAGCGGGTTCTCAAGAATATTGTCAAGTTTTTGACGCCATTTGAAATGATGGAGGATGTGGTTCCAGTTTGTCGGCAATTTTTCGAACTGATGAGGGATGGAAGCATTTGGACTGATGTTGAGCTACGCATCGTTGATGGAATGACAAGTGTCCCATTTGGGCACATGGACAACTATTGCAAAGCTGTATCTGGGTAAGTTTCAGAAATTTCACAGGTTTTTGTGATTGAATCCCATGTATCTGCACATTGAATTGATGGGATGCACAACTGCTAGTGATACCACTGAAGTGGGGGAATTTCGGAGTACTGTACAGTGAGACTCCCAGATGCAGACATAATTGGTGCATCAAGAGTGTCCCTAACTTGAATTGTCCCTAAGTCAAGTTTTGTTTTCCGATAGACTTGCATTATTTAATTTTTATTTGGTGTTTTATGGAAGAAATATTCTCTAGAATTCCACGAAAAAAAATTTGTTTGCCACATGAATTTGATTCAGTGAAGATCTTTTAAACCCAATAAGAACATTTTCAGCACTGAATAGTATACAATAGTAAAGTTCATTGAAATGTTGGCATCTGTAAAAATAACATCCAAGTCACAAAGAGAGAAGGAAGTCCCTCTGTGCTATAGGTAATTTATCTAAATTAGCTGAATGGATGGGAAAAGTACCACATAATTTTTCTTGCATAGATATTAGGGTTGGAACTATCTGTTTCTTGCAATAAAGCCTAATAAAAGTCAATTTTCCTAAAATTTAATGGCAATTTTATCATGCAATGTTCTCATGTTGAGTCATTGTCCCTATGTTGAGCCTTTTTATGATCTTTTGTTGAAAAATAAATGTCCCAATGTTGAGGTGTCCGCATGTGGGAGTGTCACCATATTTTCTTGTCAATTCGGTGAATGAATTTTATGAAATTATTGTATGATGTAATACGAGAACATTCGTTAGTCGTATTATAATTTTATGAATCACTTCCGCGAATTTCTTTTCCCCGTAATTCTAAATGTGTTGGGAATTGAACAATGATGCGCTTCAATTGTTTTATCGAATCATTTTGTAATGATGACTTAGGTATGCCCAAAAGCTCACAGTGGAGTACAAAAGGATGGACGGATTCGGAAACGTCTTACCATGGAATATTTTGCAACCTGTATTTAATCGATGCAAATGGAGTAAGGTGAAGATGCTGGATATTCCGTGCTTGGATCTGCTTGACAAAAATGCGTTGTTTGAATTCCTGACGACTTGCGGAGTGACTTTTCCTCATCTGGAAACACTGGCTGTGCGTAGTCTTGCTGTTGGAAACTTTCTGCTGAAAGTGGCTCAATCCGGTCGCATCAAGTTTCCCAATTGTCGAGAAGTAACTCTACGCTGTTCGTGGGATCAAATTAATCCTGTGAATATGGGCATCGTTTTTCCAAGGCCAGTATTCAGTTCAGCGCGAAGGAAAACATTTCATGAACATTAACTTGATGAATCTATTTGGTTTCAGAATACAAAAATTGCACCTCCATCATGCCGTTATTCTCTTCGGTAATATGTTCAAAGATTTGTCTTCGGAGAATCCAAGAATAATCAAGGACTTCCCCGACTACCTTGGTTCTGGATTGCTTTCTAGTCTTCATGCTTACCAGTTGCCAGTGCAATTAGACGCAGAAGCTTGGCATCGGGCTCGAAATAAGGGAGTTTTTAAGAACCTTGAATCCCTGAGCCTGAATGGAGGACTTTTTGACAACATGCCATTGATCGATGAGGAAATAACATTTTTCCCGAAGGTGATTCTCTATTTATTTAGGCAGTATATCATGATCTTTGAAGATTCTTCCACAGCACAGGCACCTGTGCCAAACAAAGAATGATGTGCGTACAATTCTTCCCTCTTGGAATGTTCGCAGTTGAAGTCGCTGTGGCTCGAAGGTACATCTCCTGTAAAAGCAGTTCGTCATCTACTCTCAATGTCAGTATTGGAAAAGCTGTGGATCAGGAATGTCCGGAAAAAGTCGCGTGTAATGGTACCAACGCACCAAGCTTCTTTCCAGGCAAAAGTACAGAAACTACTTTCGAGGTTTCTTACCGAGCTTTTAGACTTTACACAAAGACGACTGGACACCCTTTGCACGTAAGGTATGAGCTTTTACTACTTGGACCTTACACACCGTAATAAAAAAGAGCACAAAGCAGTCAATGGGAATCCAGCAAGCGTCTTTGAAGAACTCCGTCCCTGTTCAAAGCTGAGAGGGCTGATTCTAGCTGTACCAGATGATCTCCAGTTGGAAGCCATTGGGCCACTATCCCAACAATTGGAGTTCATTGCATTTCCCGGAACAAAACTGAGCAGGGCTTGGTCTGCATTTCGATTTATTCTTGCTGGGAGTAAGAATTCTGTGGAGGATCTATGGATTGAAGTCCGGAACTCAAAGGTGAGAGCATGGTAAAATGAAAGATAAATATTTTGTATACAGTGAGACCCCCAGATGTGGACATAATTGGTGCATCAAGAGTGTCCCTGAATTGAGTCTTGTTTTCCCATAGACTTACATTTTATAGTTTTAATCAGTGTTTTATTGAAGAATTATTTTCCAGAATTCCAGGAAAGTTTTGTTTTGCCGCTTGAATTTGATTCAGTGAATATCTTTTCAACCCAATAAGAACATTTGTAGCATGGAATAGTATACTCCTGTGCAGTTCATTGAAATGTAAAAATAACATCCAAGTCACAAAGAGAGAAGGAAGTCCCACTGTGCTATTGGTAATTTTTTTTTAAATCAACTGAAGGCATGGCAAAGTGATGGGAAAAGTACCAAAGAATTTTTCTAGCATAGATCTTAGGGTTGGAAATATCTGTTTCTTGCAATCAAGCTGAATAAAAGTCCATTTTTGTGAAATTTATTGGCAATTTTATCATGCAATCTCCTCATGTTGAGTCAGTGTCCATATGTTGGGGCTTCTTTTATTGAAAAAATAAGTGTCCCTATGTTGAATTGTCCCTATATATGTCAAGGTGTCTGCATGTGGGGGTCTCACTGCGTGTCATGTATATTAGACATACAAGCTTTCTAAAACAAACACTCCTGACGCTATAGTCCTCCTCCTACATTAATGCAGTATTTATGTTTGAAACCTCTTCAGAGCTTTGATCTCCTCTATAACCTTTTGTCCACTTCACTTGAACACCTATTCAAATGGCAGATTTATGTCTAAGCCACTATATACATCTGTCCGCAACTTGTTTTCCCACAAGCCTTCCCAAAATCATAAGGTTGACAAGGTACGCAAAGTTTATCTGAGCGAAATAACAAACTGGAATATTTCTACATGTGGCCAAATGCTTTTATTGTACTGTATCAAGCAGCCAAGTGACAGGCAACAGCATTGATTGGGAATGAGTCTTCTCTTGGTACGCTGTCAAGAGTTGAGTCCTTCGAAATGTACAAATTCTGATGGCTGAACATTAACAGCATCTCTTTGTCAAAAGAAGTGAACCCTGTATACATATCTGACCTCATGAGTGGTAATGTATGTTTTTGACTGACATTTGATGGTTACTGCGGCTTGAAGGTTCGGCAGAATTTCCGCTTCATGCATGTGCTGATGAATGATCAGAATTTTAATTGCTTCAAATATTTGACCATACTGCCGATTTGTCAACGTCTCCATTTTTTTCTGCTGTTCTGTGTATAGGAAGTGCGGAAAATTATCCGAGCTCTGAGGCCGCTCGAGGGGCTGAAGAA